AACAAAATGAAAAACACTTTCTCATTGCAATTTTTTGAGCTCTACAAGTTAAAATCATTTTTTTATATGGCCCGTGAAAGAAGTACGTACTGTATTTAGTAGCATTTTTATTACTAATACAACGATGTACCTCCAGAATATTCGCCTACGGCAAAATCAGCCTTGGAAGATTCACCCTCGAAAGATATGGCTGCCGGGAAGTTTCGACACAAACAATTTTTAGATCCACCTATAACATTTTCCTAATTTTTAAACAATTCGCTAATAAAAATGGAGTTTTGCCTATATTTCAGACCAGGGTTAGTTAAGTAGTGTTGCAAACAGCCCTTATGAGAGTTGCCATGGCATCGATAAAAAAATTCCTGAGAGCAAAAATACTGTCGGAAAATTTTCCGTGGATGAATATTCTGGGAGGAAATCCGCATTCGAGTTTTCTTGGGGCCGAAAATTCTGGAAGCAAATTTTTTTTGGAACCAAATCATCATAGACAGAGGATGAATCTTTTGGAGTCGAATTTTCCGATAGAATGATATACCGGGGGCGAATCTTTATGAGAATGAATATTTAGGACGCGAATTTACTAGGATGAGTTATTCGAGACGAATTTATCGCACACAAAATTGGGCAACAAACTAGCAACATACCTCTCCGTGATCAATAAAAAATCAATCTTTAGTTTGAATTATTGATTAAATCTGGTAAATTTCAATTGAAGTAATTCTGTCACTACATTTTAGGATTGTTTTCACTTTATTTTAAATACCATCTTTTATGTCTATATATCAATATTGTACAGCGGTTTAATTTAAAACTCAAAATACCAGGTTGAGTGTCATTTACCTATTATAGAGATATTTGGTTAGCGAATTATCTTTAGAAATAAGCGTCAAAAACACCCTATACTTATCTCTATAATAAGTGAATGATTTGTATGCACACCCCAAAAAAACGAGAAACAGATCAACAGTCTTTAGATCGTTGCTTTCGATTTCCTTTCGTATTTTTTTTTTCAAATCAATTAGTCTACTTTTGTTGTATAATATTAATAACACAATAATAAGTTTATTGTCACTAAATAAATCGATCAAAGTCGATGAAAATTTTCCTTTTACTCTCACGCAAATTGAATTATTGTTTGTCGTTAAGTATTAATCACGATTCCTAGTATTCGAGTTGCTCGACGTGTCCAACGTTAATTTTATTCTCGCAATTTATATGCCGTGTTCCTACCTTCTTCTTTTTGTATCTGATTGCAATTGTAATTAATATTTTTATTTGGATAGTCATTTATTGTCAGTTGTGATGACTGCCGGGACCGCCAACTTCACATGCACCACCTGTGAGGTTCGAGTCCGAAACCGACTACGAGTTGCTCCTGTTTGCAAATTAGGTTGAATTTAAATTTTTTATCGGGTAACATTAGTACATTTTGCAACATTTTGAAGACCGTTTATTATTTTTGTATTAAATTGACAACGATTTTGACCAGACAACTGACTGTAATTTATTATTGTTTCTGTGTTACCCTAATACCCCCTCAACTTCTTTCACCATTTAACCTTATCAAGACCTAGACAAGGCTCTGCAGTCTACCTTAAGGCTCCTCAGTATGTATTCTTCTTGTTTTTAAATTTACCATGAGCCTAAGTTTACTTATGTATTTGACTTTTTGCGCTTTTTTGACTAGTTGTATAAGAGGACCCACTAACTTCGCCGACCCGTATCTACTTTGCCTGAGCTTTCCGTACTTGCGCGTTATAGTGAAGTAGAAAGATGACGGGAACTTTTGAAACAAATGTACAAGATTAAACAAAAGAGGGAGTAAGAATCCTACTTCGGCCATTGTTTTTGAGAATAATTAACACAGTTTTAATGAAAGTTAAAGGGGTGGCAGATATTTGCTTCCTCTGGGTGGAAGGAAGTTAATCTATAGTGTGAGGTTCCTGAGTAAAATTGCGTTCAGGGAGTAAACTTGTTAGTGCTCTCAAAAAAGTAATATAGGCGGCATGCGCTCTTTTTGTGTCAAATTTAAAATGGTAAGATCAAAATTTGAAAATATTCGCTCGGTGAAGAGGTAAGGGGAAATTTAAAAAATTGTCAATTGCAGAATGGTGATACAGAAAAATGTTTATTGCATAAGTTTCTTTATAATGATTGTTAAATAATCTTCCGTTTTGAAAATAAGTATACCGGGTCAGATAAAAAAGTTGTCGGAGCTAAACCTCATTTTTTAAAATGGAAATTTAATGCTAAATCCTCTTTTCAAAATGGAGCACACAAGGGATGATATTAAAAAAAAGATTTGACTGATTAAACAATATTGAAAAAAGATTCAGAAAGTTCAAATGATTAAAAAATATACAACAAAATTTTGAAAAGGTTTTTGAAGTCTCCATCACCAAGGTTAGCTGAAATCATTTTGCTATTCAATTGATATAATGATAATGATAGTTTATATGTATATTTAACGTCGAAGTGATCATGTAATGTAAAGCATGAAACGGAAGATGGTGGTGACAAGATATATATCACGTTCGAATTCTCTCAAATCAGTGAACGCTAAAAATCGAAAGAGTTACATAGAATTAAAAAAAAAAACGAGTAAAACGTTCCTCTTGGACCAATATTGTATTTCTTGAATTTTTGTGTTATATTTTCGAAGAAAGAATTTTTAGAATAAAATATACTGGGTGTCCGATTTAAAAATATGATTACGTGCAACTTTTTTGCCTGACTGCGTATACTTATATTAAAAACAACAGAGTATTCAACAATTTCAACATTTTTATGTATCTCTTTTTCCTGCATCTTTTAAGCGAGCGATTTTTAGGACAATGTGAATCTCAGTGGAATAATTGATCAGGTTTGGGGTAAGTTTTCAAGTGTGTGAGAAAAAAATATGGAGGGTAATAACTTGAGTGTTAGGGGATAAAAGGAATAGAAGAGGGAAACATGGTCAGTAGTACTAATAAAGGGTGATCAAATAAAAGCTTCCGAAAGTTTTTTTGAAATAAAACGCATTAAATTCAATTTAATAATCAAAAATTGTATTTGATACGTAAGTTCGGTTCATGACATTTAATGTTTAAAAATAATTTGTTTGAAATGTTGACCGTGACTGACTCGTAGCTGGTCCATTCTATGGGTCCAATTTTCAAGCGCTCATTCAAGCATTTCGGCCGAAACTACACGTGTTATGTTCGCTTCTAATGCAGGAATAATTTGTGGTTTATCGGCATAAACAAGTGATTTGAGATAACCCCATAAAAAGTAATTTAACGGCGTTTGATCACATGATCTTGGTGGCCAATTCACTGCTCCATTTCTTGATATGATGTTCTCATCAAAAGTTTCTTTTTCTTTCAATAAATCGATGGTTTCGTGTGCTGTATGGCACGTCGCACCATCTTGTTGAAACCATAAGTCGGCTACATAAATATCTTGAATTTTTGGCAACAATTTTTCATTGTGCGTTCAGTTGACGATTATGAGCACCATAAAATGGTCGAAGAGCACGAAAACCATTTCTCACTGAACGCTGATTTTGGAAATAAATTTCACGATTTGTAATCGTTGTTCTGATGTAAGTCTATTCATGGTGAAATGTCAACTAATAATGAACAAAAAACATATGCACATGACAGCTATCTTGATTAAAGTGTTTTAAAATCCCTATTGGAAAAAGTACTTCGTATTTGATCACCCGTTACAAGGAGTACCTATTTGCCATCAGGAAGTACACGTTAAGAATAGACAACTGGGTATCGGCACAAAATTGGTTAATAATCGCTCTTTTTCCGGTAAAAGTATAGTTTCACCTCATCAGGACTCGTACTACAATCGTCAATACAATAAATAATTACTTAAAGTTAAATGTTAACTTTAAATTTTCCAAACCTAACGGTATTGGTAATTGTCTGATCACGTTTGGGACGTTCCGCTCAGTCAATTTGTATTTTAGCGAACCGCATGGGTCGAACTTATTTTATGCGCTCAGATGGTTTGGTCCGTATATGTACGGTGCAACTATTTAGTATGTCAAACAAATTTTTGAGAGCAAGAACTCTTTCCAAAATTAATAAATAAGCTGGTTCGTTTTTTTAGGTCAAACACGTCCATTGTATTTGAAAATCTGGCTATCTGAATAAATTCTACAAAAACATGGATAAAATTATTAACCATCTTCAGAACAGTCATTTGAATTAAAATATGCCACGTGAGTTACTAAACTACGCTAATCCTCCCCTTATCAAGAACCATAAATTCAACAAAGATTAAAGCAACACTTCAGTTTTGAAGCGGTTCAGTTTACGAAACTCCAACCTGAACCGTATAAATATCGGCGTTGATTTTCAAAATCCTATTTATTGATAAAACTTCTTAAGGTTATACCCGATTAGGCCTCTTCTTTTATTACGTTAACTTTGTAATATCAGAAAGAGCGAAAACTTGTTAAAACGGATATTTCCGAATGTCTGGAGGTCGAGCTTTTCCAGTGTGTAAAAAAGAAAGGACGTCCGTTTGTTATTTTGCTTCAAATAATCGGTTTTTCTTCGGTCTATTTAATTCGTGATTCGATTGAATAGGGAATGTCAGACGCAGGCAGTGACATCTGCAATATTAAACGAAGCCATTTCGTGTGGAGTGTCGCTGTAATTACATAATTACTAGTCGAGAGAGATACTATATGAACATAACTTAGGTTTATGTTTCCATCAGTTTAAAGCATAGTTAGTGCAGGGAAGATGATGTAAAAGCAAATGAACATGACACCTAGTTTGCCTTTGTAAAAGTGGGTCCTTTTGAAGCAATGTGACCTGTAAAGATAGCTGAAAGAGGAAAATGTGCGAGAATGAGAGAAGGAGACAAGCACACTAAGTGATATGCGAAAAGATTAGGGGTTGTTATCACAAGCACAAATGTACGACATTATACACGAAAGTCATCCAGTGTTGTGCAAATGTCGGATACACAAGACAGAATTTTACACATAAGTTTACCTCATGGCAATTATTGTTGACACCGCATGGTACATCTGATTTTTTCTGGATTTAAAAAGAAACAATCAATCTATTACAGATACAAACCTTAAAAACTAGAAACGAATGCTACTATCATTCAAATCAGTTAATGAAGGTAAAAAATGATGATTTCAAATTTCAAAGTGAGTTACGTACTTTTCGGTTTCCTTTGGCGAAGCTGAAGGTGGTGGTGTTTTCAAACTTTTAAATGCCTTTAGCCACTTATTTTTCATACTACCCGTCGACACGAGTGACATTTTTCTTTCGCGCGTGGAATCTGAAGACTCCAATTTGTTGAGGAAAAGTTCCTTCTGCAAAGAAAAATGTGTTAAAAGTCATTGTCACCATCGCCCTTACTAAAGATTTATATTTCACTTTGGGCATCTTTGAAGAAAGTGTAAAACATACTAGGTACACAACTGGTGGGCAGGCTAACCTGACAACGGGTAATTTAGCATGATGTCAACAAATAGGTAAAGTCCATTATTGGAAATCAATTCGTGCGTAGTGAAAACGTTTAAAACAATTCCAGAACGATTATAGGTCAGTAATGTCAATTGCAAGATGCTTACCAACTGGCTGCGAAGAGAAAGCCACCCCATTCTCGTACCCGATTTAATTTTTACGCGCTTTTAATTGCGAACGGTTTAAAAATAACACACGTTTATGGAAGCGTGTCACGCACAGACTTTCACTGATCACAGCCGTGGAAAAATTTCAAACAAGTTCGATAACATCGGAATAATAAATGCCCTTATTATCCCTGGAGCAATGCAGCGACCTAACCTACGTCAGAACGGCGCGTTATATTGATAGGGTTGCTATGCTGCGCGGCGGCGATGTGCGCCGGAAAGCTTCCCGTTTAAAAATGAATGAAATTTTCCCGGAGTGAAATGGGAATAAATTTCTGGCTCGTAAGATGTACTGTCTTATGTTGCTTTTTATGGTGCAATTTTGTGCAATAAATGTTTCATGAGAAAATTGTCATTTCTGAAAAAGAGTGCTTCACATGGGTAGATGACGGGCGATTGTAACCTGTGGCTGTAGTTGAATCCAAAAGATCATTAGTTTCTTGTATAAACATACAGCATCTACTTTTGTAATTATTTTGAGTTTCCTTAAATCCGATATAAAATGCAAAAAAATTTTGCTTTCTAAGTTCGTAGATTAGTGGAATTTTTCGAACGGTGTGTTTTCCTCTTAAAAATTCTGTATTTTTCGACATTCCCGGGGCCATTTTCCCTCAACCTTTTAAGTTGAAGAGTATTTTCTTGGGGTTCGCTGCCGAACCCGTCCACTAACTGAAACCATCCTTGAGGATCCCAAAGTGAACTAGTTTTACCTTCTAGAACAGGCGAAGGTTTATTTTCCAATATATTTAATTTATTATTTTATTTTGCCTTTATTTCTGAGTTTCGGGGTTTATTCAAGACTGATATACCCAATCCAGTATATATCGACAAAAATTGATATCCTGATATCCACTACTCCATGTGAATCCGTAAAAGAAAATAGTCGAGAATGTTGTAGCTAATAGTCCGGGAGAAAATTACATGGTAAGTTATTAATGATTAAAATAAGTAAGATTAGTGAAAAATTGGTTTGCAAGAAGTTGTAACTGAGTGCTACATTGGAAAAATCTCCTAAAATCGTAGTGGATGAACTAATGAACTAATTCTGATTCAGTTTGGACTTTCCATGCATTACTATAATGTTGGCTGACAAAATAATAAATAAATTGAGTTTGTTAGTCTTTAAGGATAGCTCGCTTAAGAGAAAAATATGTGCTTCGGTAAAGCTTCTCATGGTGTAAGTGGAGCTCCTAAGGGATTTATATATTTCTTAGCTCATTTCCAGAAAAATACGCTATAGTCAGCACTTTGTCAGTCCGTCCGTCCCAACGGAAAATTCTGGCACGTATTCACTTAAATGCAGCTAACAAACAAACAATGAAAAACCTCTTTTAAAATTACAAACTGGAGTGGTTTGTTGCGCTAGCCCTGAAAGTTTCTTTTTCATTTTTTCAACGTATTGATTTACTATAGAGCATTCGCACCTTAGTATGCAGTATGGGGTCTTATGGACTATATCCCTCCTTTACTAATTTGCGTCATTCTTCAATAACGCTATCCTTATTCCTTACCGCAATGATGCCAAACTTACATATGATTGAATTTAAGCTTTAAAACAAAATATAACGTCAAATCTTCTTGTATTGTCATTACGTGTGTGGTTCGTTTTTGTCTTTCGTATTTAACACATTTTATTGTCTCATTGCTTTAAAAATCGTTCTTTTAAGAACGCCACCATCTCGTACTTTATATACAAGGTAACTTTGAGTGTTCTTGTAGAACCGTTATTTGATTTCATCTTTTTAGAATATCCCATTAAATGGAAGCCGAAGCTGAAGCAGGATCTGCTAACGTGAAACGCCATAAAGGAGAGTGTTTTAGCCGGAAGGAGAAACACCTCATTATCAACGTGCTGAACTATTTCTCGGGAACGATGAACGTTACTGCAGCTGTGAAAGAAGCAAGTAAAGCTTTATGTTGTTCTGAACGGAGCATCTATGCCATTAAAAAGGAAGACGGAAACGAAGGTGTATCAAGCCCGAAAAAACGCAAGCAAAGAAAAGGGAAACAAAGCAATGATCGTCTTCATGTGTATGATGAAAATGTGCAATCAGTTATTCGACGTAAAGTGCATAACTTCTTCATTACAAATATTCCACCAACTATGAACAGCATCTTAGCTTCCGTAAATGATGATAACGATCTACCCAACTTTAAACGCACCACATTATTCAATCTCTTGAAAGATATGGGTTTTGAATTTAAGAAGGTTGGCCGCAAGAGTATCCTTATTGAACGGGATGATATTATACGATGGAGACATAAATACATGCATGTTCGGCATCACTACGACAAAAATAAGCTTGATGTTATTGCACAAGAAAAAGGTTACGAGATTCTCCGTTTACCTCCATACCATTGTGAATTAAATCCCATTGAAATGGTGTGGGCTCAAGTTAAACATCATATCAAAATGAATAACAAAACATTTAAAATAAAGGACATGGAAGAATTAATAAAAATGGGTTATTCACAAGTTACGGTTCAAAATTGGCAACATTATGTCAATCACGTGAAAACTATCGAAGATGGCATGTGGGCAGCAGATTATCTTCAAGATGATGTTGAAGAATTTATAATTCAAGTGTCGCAGTCATCTTCCGATGAATTTCAATTCGATTCCAGTGACTAATATGTATACTGTACATTTGTAAATTTTTGGGGACTTAATAAATACAAGCTGTTCTCGGCCACATTTGACAAACAATTACAACTTGTTATTAATTTACCTTTTTGACTTCTGAGGTTAGGTTAAAAAGTAATAAATAGTGTCTAAACTACCGTTTTACGGTGCAGTAATCGATCCTATAATAAGTTTGGCAAGCATGTACTGTTTCTCCATAAGCCCCATACTGCATACTAAGGTGCGAATGGTCTTTAGTGGTTAACACATAGTATAAACTATTTACTAACTTTCATTTTCTCGATCTTGTTTAGCAAAGCCTAGATCGTTTGGACAGTGTAACGCGAATAGTTACAATGAAATACCGTAGCAATTCACTTAGTAATGAAATTTGATCTGGTCTGTGTCAATTATGACAACTTACACTTTCACTCGTTATTTCAATAACAATCAATTTTACCCTTGTTTACTGGCCACTAAAACTTTCAAGTTTACGGGCGTGGGGTGGAACGAACCCCAGATAGAAAAGACTATACTTGAAAGGTACTCGAGCTCCCAGGCCAAAATATTGAAAGAAAAAAAACTTATAGACATTGAAAGTAGCTGCGGGGTGCGATCCACCCCAGACCTGTAAATTAGGGTTAAGGCTAATATGGATAGCTTATATATTGTTTACTACATTCAGAATAAAATCATCGATCTATCTGAGCAACAAAAATTCTGTGCTATTATTATCCCTCTCTTGTTTTGGGCCCTCAACAGGCATGCGCCCAATTACAGAGTGATTGAGGTGAATGAAATTGACTCATTTGTTTTTTGTTGGAGTTCTGAAATCCCACAGTGATTTTGACTTACGTTTATTTGTTCTATAACAGATGTTAAATTTACATTTTAACAGGTTTGAATGAGTAGACTAAGTGTCACTTTAACGGCAAGGGTAGATAAAGAGAAACAAATAATTGTGCAAAAATGGGACACTGAGCACGATATAAAATGAAGTCTAGACTAGAATACAATATTTTTTCCATGGAAACGACGGGAGAACATAAGCTTGCTATTCTGGACGTCTGACTAAATATAATACTTACAGAATTTTCGAAGTTTTATCATGATTTCTATGGTATCTGCTATAAAATAAAAAAACAAAATAAACCTAAAAAACTTATACTATCCTCTTTACCGGATTTATTTATACCTAAAGGGTTATCAAGGGATTCTGTAGCTCACGTTGCTTTCGGTTAAATTGTCTGTTTCGGATATATTTTTCTAAAAAAGTTTTTTGTGGGTGCTGGCACTTCCCTTTGGCAGTCATGTTGTATTAAATGTACATTTTTGTTTGCCTACTGAAGGAATTCATAACTATAACACTGTATGTATAGTGTATAGCCTGTTGCTTCTTAGAATTGATCTCATTTTTGTATTCGTCTAAAAGTAGGTACCTACACAGTTTCTGTTTGTTGAGGTAGTTTTTGTAAAAATATTTAATTAGAGAGGCAGATTCGAATAATAGAAATGCTGAATTGATCAATTTTGAATTGTATGGCATCGTTTATTATAACTTTGTTAAAAAAAAACTGAAAACGGTTCCCACAACCCTTACCAGTTTTGCTGACCCTTAAGTGAGAATTTTGTTGCTATTGCAATATGAAAAAAAGTAGTAATTTATAGTGGATGCTGAGATGAAGAAGTTGACTCGTACTGAAGCTCCAGCGAAGTCTCGAGTATCGAAATGACGACGTTTAGAAGTTGTTAGAAGTATCGTGTTCAGGGAATTTTCAATCGTTTTTAATAAATTAACAATATTTTCCGAGATGCCGTTAATCAGCAGAATTTCTACGTTAACTCAATTATCTTTTATTATCTTTTCGTCGACAAACTTAATTTGAAGGTTTCTATGTCGAAAACGGGATAGATAATAGATTGACAGGGCTAATATGGGATTTATAATGGATTTACGTATAAAATGAAACGTGAAAGGGGAGACTGCATAATGTGGTTGTGGTTTTTATACAAAGAATTCCATTATTGTTGGTCTGTAAATTAACCAAAGTTATTT